TTGTTTACATAGTCCATACAAATGGTGCCTTGCCCTTGAACTCATAATAAATCTAGTGTTCGATGCCATGGGCTGTAAGAGTCTTAATTTAACTCAGTATTATGAAATGATTTATGTATGTGTTTCTTTTCCTGTTGCTATGACTAAATGCCTGACAAAAGCAACTTGAGGAAGAGTTGGTTTGTGCTCCCAGTCTGAGGGTCTGGTGGGGAAGTCAGAGGAAGTGTGAGGTAGTTGGCCACACTGGGCCTGTCGTTAGGAAGCAGAGAGAGATGACTGTTGCTGCTCAGCTCTTTCTCTCCTTTTTATTCGGTGTTGGGCCCTTGCTCATCCAGTGATGCTGCCGACACTTAGGGTGGGTCTTTCCACCTCAGTTAACTCTCTCTAGAAACTCTTTCACAGACATGCACAGAGGTCTATCTGCTAGGTAATTCTAGGGCTTGCCATATTGATAATACTAACCATCACAATTTTCTCTGCTTTCCCTTTCTCTCATGATAAAGAGCTGGGGTAAGGACTCAAGTGTGGCCAGGTTCTGTTGATCCTTTCCAATATGTGTGTCCCTTGACCTCTCCACAGCTTTTGAACTCCTCTAGAGAATCTCTCCTTCAATGTTCATGCATTAGCCCATGGTTCCCTGTTTTCTCCTCTTCTTCCCAGTCTCTCCTCCTTTACTTGGATTACCTCTTAGGATGGTGGCCTTGTTACCAATCTTCTAGTTCTGCAGCCTCACACACATCTCCATTTCTACGACTGAATGCAGTCTCCTGTTCTAATGAGCCATACACCTGTCTGATCCCTGAACACCTTCCCTAGGTGTCCACAGGCTCATCACCTGGTACCCAAGACATTGCTGGGGCTGGGAGTCTCCTCTCAGGTTCTCGGTCCTCTTCCTTAATCTCCACCTCAGTCCCCAGTACTCATGACACTGTGTCCAGCCAGAGACCTGACACTGTCCCAGACTCCTCCCACCTCAGATCAGCTAACAAATCCTAGCAACTGCCATCTAAAGAGTCTCCATTGTCTCCTGGAAGCACTGATTGCTGGGTCAGGTTCCACTCCATATTCTCTCACTCCAGGATTTATCCTTTCTATCTATTCTAGAAGCTGGATTCCAGAATAATCTCTATCAAGTTCAAATCTGCTTTTATCATTCACTGGCTTTATATCTGTGGTGTATGGTGCCCATTGGCTTATAGATTTAAATACTTGGTCACAAGGGAGTGGCATGATTTGAAAGGATTAGCCTTTCAAGGTGTGGCCTTGTTGGAGGAGACTTGTCACTGGTGGGGGAGGGGTTGAGTTTCATAAAACCCATTCCAATTCCAGAGTCTCTCTCTTCCTGCTGCTAGAAGGTTCAGATGTAAACTCTTAGCTCCTGCTCCAAAATCATGTCTGCTGGCCTTCTGCCATGCTTCCTGCCATGGGGATTAAAGGACTAAACCTCTGAAACTATAAGCAAGCCCGATTAAATGTTTTCTTTTACAACAGTTGCCGAAGTCATGGTGTCTCTTTTCATCAAAGTACTGACTAAGACAATATCCCTTTATGCTACCCTGTCATCCTCAGGCTATCATCCAAACCTCAGCCCTGACATAGCCTGGTGCATTCAACTCTTTTCTGAGTCTATGAGTGTCTCTGTTACCTTCTCTACAAGTCTTTGTCTTTCTAAAAATTCTTTTGTAATTTCATACATGAATACAATGTATTTATATCATATGAACCTATTGCTTTCCCCTCCACTTCCAGACCCCCTCCAAATTTCATTTCTTCTCTTCCTCTTCCTCCTCACCTAGTCTAGTTAGTGTTGCCTGTATGCGCATGAATACTGGACTATCCACTTGAACTTGGGTAACAACACCCTTGAAGAAAACTGACTCTCTTCCCCAATAGCCATCAACTACCAGTAGCTCCTTGGGTAGGGATGGGGCCTTGGGAACACCTCTCATCCATGCTAGAATGTTGCCTGGCTAGATCATATATAGGTCTTGCTCAGGTAAGCACAGTTGCTATGAGTTCGAGTTCAATGACCCTGTCATGTCTAGAAGACAGCTTCGCAGAAGTCCTCTGACTTTTGTATCTTACTAATTTTCCTCCCCTCTTCCCTGATGTTTCCTAAACTTGAGTGGAAAGGGGTGTGACATAGTTGTCCTCAAATTTAGGACTGAGCCTATGAGTTGGTTTTCCTTCCAGCCACTACTGGACTAAGCAGACCTGCGCACTCCGGTGCTAACTGCATTCCATGCTGATGCCCAGTGACGTGCCTTTACCTCTTTCTTGATAGGCTTCAAACTTTGATGGAAGAGGCCATGGCAATTCAACTCTGATTTATTTCTTATTTCTCACTTCCAGGATGTTATGTAGTTTAAAAACTAATTTTAAAAAAATCCCACTTTTGGGGATTGTTTAGTGAACCAATAAATCTCCTCTATTGATTCTTTTCATCTGGGCCTTAGTTATCAAAATATTATTGATAACCCATTCATTTTACAAATAATACAGTTGTCCTTCATTTGACATGGGTTCCAAATTCTCTTGTTCAATCAATCTCAGATCAAAAATCTTGAGGAAGTATTGTCATTTTATACTGGGGACTTGAGTAGCACAAATTGTTGTATCTAAGGGCAGCCTTAGAACCAATCCTCTGGGGTACCAAGGGCTGACTGCCTGTTAAAAATGTCAACTTGGGGGCTGCAGAGATTTCTCAGTGGTTAATACCATTGGTTGCTATTCCAGAGGATCCACGTTTTATACCCAGCTCTGACATGGCAGCTCACAATGGTCTCTACCTCCAGTGTCAGGGGCTCCAATGCCCTGTCTGGCCTCTACAGGCATTCTGGACACATGGCACATAGATATACCTGCAAGCAAAACACCCATGCATGTAAAAGAAAACATTTTTAAAAACATTTTAAATTGTATGAATCAGTATATGCTACAACTCCAGCACTTGAGAGGCCAAGACAACCTGGACTGAGTTTGAGGCCAGCCTGGGACATATAGCAAGGCATGTCTAAAGGAGGAGGCAGGAGAAGAAAGTGAGGAAGGGAGGGGGAGAGGGAGGAAGAGAGGGAGGGAAGGAGAGAGAGAGGGAGATAGGGAGGGAGGCAAAAGAGTAAAATATCAATAGCAGGACAAGTTCAAGAAAATGCCCAAGCAAAACGGCAAGATTTAATGACAAGGATTTCTTTCTTGGAAATCTATCTTCTAAAGTCTTCATAATTGGCAATACAATAGTACAAATGGCTCTTTCTAGTTATTTCTTGATGGTTGGTCAGCAAACCTATGGATTTTAAAAATTATTTTAATGTATGCATGTGTATGTTTCTCTATGTGGGTGTGTACATGAAGGCCAGAGGACAACACTAGCTGTCATCCTCAGGAAGGTCAGTCACTTTCTGGATGCCAGTCAGCTCTCTCTGGCTTAAGCTGACCAAACAGTGAGCACATGTTAGGGAGAAAAATGTAATATAAAGACTTAGTGAAATAATCTTGAGGTATATTGTCAATGGTCATCATCTTTCTGCAGTTTTACTTGGATTTTAGCATCAGGGTTTCTTCTTCTGTCTTTCTTTATCCGGAGAGTATCATGGTTATATCAATTACATCAAGGAAATAATTAAAATGGGCAGTAGTTTAAACAGTTGTAGCACAAAACAATATATTGAGATGAAACAAATCCCCTCAGGAGACTGCAAATAATTCTTTCTCTGTGTGCATGTGTCTCTGTATGTTCCTTCCCATGTGCCTGTGTTCATGTGTGTGTGTATGTATATAGAGCCCAAAGAACAATTCTTTCTGTGTGTATGTTTCTGTATGTCCCTCCATGTGTACACATGTTCACGTGTGTACACATGCATGCGTGTGCATGTATATATAGCCCAAAAAACAGTCTCAGACATCAACCTCAGAGTACTCTCCATGCTGTTTTTTGAGACAGGGTCCTAGACTTCACCAAGTAGCGCAGTGTTTCTGCCTAGAAGCCATAGGTATCTTCCTGTCTCTGCTTTCTCAGCTCTGTGGTAACCAAGTGCCACCACACATGCTCTTTGTTTTCATGTATATTATAGAGATGGGACTCCGTTTTTCATGCTTGCAGCAAGCATTTTACCAACAGAGCTATCTCTACACCCTCAAACAATTCTACTTAAGGTGTAAAATAATTGGTTTGGTGTGATTGAGACAGAGTCTGGTTATGTAGCCCAGAATCAAGCTGCTCACTCAGAATGTAGCCTGGAGCAGCGTCAAACATGAGATCTTCTGTTTCTGCCTCCTCAGTACTGGGTTCACAGGCTGGCTGCCCCATAAACCCTGCCAAAACCTATAACCATACTGTCAATATTTTAGAAGGAATTTAACTAGATATAAGAACAATTTAATGACATAATGGCTCCTTTGTAGAAGACTTCGTAAAATGTCTCTTTAGTCCATGGGGTGTGTGAGAGGTCACTTCCTGCTCATGCAGACATCAGACCTGGATGGCAGTGTGGAGTGCCAGCTAAGCTGGCTATTGTTCTCCTATGACAGGGAAAGTAGTAGGAATTGCATGGGGCTATCACTGGACAATCATAGTGTACTCTATTTTCTGAGTATCTACTGTGTTCTAGGCACTATTTTCTAGACCAGGAGTTGGCAAACTATAGCCCATGGGCTAAAGATGACCAATTGTCTCTTGGGAAGTTATGAATCTAAACTTAAGAATAGCTCTATTTATCACTACTATTATTAGTAGTAGTAGTAATATAGATTGCATTAAAGAAAGTTGACTCTCAAATCTAATTTCTGGGCAAGAAAGAAGGCTTATAAGGTGAAGGTTGCTGTCTAGTCTACTGACCTGAGTTCAATCCCCAAGACCCACATGATAGGAGATAATCAACTCCCAAAAGTTTTCCTCTGACCTCTACATACACTCAGTGTCATGTGTGTCTACACCTTCGTATGTACACTAAATAAATGTAAATAAATTAATTTAATTTTCAACTTTCCTTTAACTTTTAGAGACATATTTCACCAAATATTAAGACACTGGACATTAAGAAAGAGGTTCATTCTAGTCTTCGGGTTCCAATGTGGCTAGTTTTCTTCTGAGAAATCTCCTAGCATTATTATAAAACCCAAGACATGATCCTACTTTTTGTAATTTTAACACACTGCTTAACAACAAGGTTTCTTATACTTTTTTTAAATGTTTGGGGAAAAAAATAAAAATTTCATGGCACTTTAGAGTTCCATCATATATAGATTTTCACATCCATAGACAAAGTCCTATTAGAAGACAGCCATGCCTGGCTGAGGCTGCTCTCACCTGCAGAGGCAGAGCTGAGTATCAGTGACAAAAACCGTGTGACCAGTTAAACCTAAAATATGCGTCATCTAGCTCCTGGCAGAAAAGTACCATCTCTTTTTTAAGCACTTGGCATGTGCTGGACACAACAAATGTACAGTCCACCTTCAAACAGGAGGGACAGAGAATAAATAACATACATTATTTTAAAAAAATAGATCAGTGTATTGAAAGGTGGTTATCAAAACAAATAAAGGACCAGAAGCAGAAGGGAACATAGGGTGAATAGGAGAGCAGGACACAATATTAAATTTCATTTTTATGTCTTCCCAGCTAAAGCTAAAATCTCACGTAAGCCTACGGCAGTCATATTTTAAGTCTAACATCAATTAGCATGTTACAGGGAATTTACTATGGCCATGCAATCAAGAAAAATCTCCAAGAAGTAATGTAAGTGGGGTGGAATTTGTACCCAAGGGACAGCAGGTGTCTGCAGAGCTGCTTCAGCATTTTTAAGGGTGCAGGAAGAAGCCAATGCTCATGGCACTGTGTGTGGGTGGGAATGCATAATATGAGTTCGTGTATGTGCGTGCGCGCATGTGTATGTTCCCATGCGCGCTTGTGTGTGCACACACGCTAGGATAGAACAGAGATCATATCAGAAAGTCTCATCTCTCACTAAACTGGAAGCTAGGCTGGCAAGCAAGTAAGCCCCAGGGTCCATTTGTCTTCACCGCACAATGCAAGGGTTACAGGCAGCTGCAGTCCTGCTTGGCTTTTTACCTAGCCCTTCATTGGCACTTTGGCCCTCCGGCAGCTCGGGGTTTAATCATCTCCTCTAACCCTTCCCACCTGGGTATCTGTGCAGCTTTCAGCAACTCACAATCGAATCACCTGAGCCCATTTGCTGCTTTGGAGAACAGAGCAGCCGCATCCTCAACCAGGGAGGAATGACATCATTTCTAATGCTACAGAAGTGCTTAAGATATGTTCACTTCCTTCCTTCACTTCTAATGAAGTCCAAGTTCTTAGCTCCCAGTTAATGATTTCCCTAAGTTCCCTTTAATCTCCTGTTACGTTTTGGAAAGCCCCAAGCCAATCCAGAGGACACAAACGGCAAATGACCAAGATCTCCTCTTCCTCACACAGCCCCTGCCCATAAAGGCACAGGCCTGCCCATGTGTTCCTGCCAGAGCTTTGGTTGCACATGCTTCTGCCGCTCTCTCCACCACTGTCACCAATGTGACTCTCTCTGCTGACGCCTGGTAAACCCTTAAGTGCTTCCATGATGCTAGGATCCGAGTCATCCCTCAGTTGTTTCTGGGACACAAAAACGGCTAAATTAAACTTCAGAAGCAAAACTGAATTTTCTTTGATAAACTGTACTAATAAATCTCTTCCCCCACCTCTTCCTAGGGTCAAAAGAACGGACAATAAATTTGGAGTGTGTTCCCCTTAAATTGGCATTAATATGTGGTCATTATTTTGAAATATTTACAAAGTAATTGTGTTCCTTAAACTTCCCCCCTTTATATTCTTATGAAACAAAATGGAAACAACTGTACATTTTGGTCCTTCCTCTAACATTTTAAAATATACGTATTATGATGTAGAAATTAAAATATTATTGTTGTCATATACATATGAAAATCTACAATATAAATTTATAGCCAATGAGTGATTTGTTTTCATTTTTATTATTCCACAAGTGGAGTTTCATTTGATGACAATCCCATATCACATAAATTAAGTGACAATCTTTCAGTATGTTTTCATTGCCACCACCAATGTGACTCTAAATCTTCACAATACAAAACATAGAAGTGTGGTCTGCAGGAGGACATCACCCTCCCCCCCACATCTGTCCCCCACATCACCCTCCTACCCACATCTGCCTCCTCCACATCTCCCTCCCACAACATCTGTCCCCCCACATCACCCTCCCACCCACATCTGTCCCCCACATCACCCTCCCACCCACATCTGCCTCCTCCACATCTCCCTCCCACAACATCTGTACCCCCACATCACCCTCCCACAACATCTGTCCCCCCACATCACCCTCCCACCCACATCTGTCCCCCCACATCACCCTCCCACCCTCATCTGTCCCCCCTACATCACCCTCCCACCCACATCTGTCTCCCAGCTACATCTGTCCCCCCCACATCTATCTCTCCTCTATATCACCCTCCCACCCTAATCTGTACCCCCCCATCTTGTTTTGGGCACTAATAACAATCTACTTACAAGCCTAGAATGGCCCTCCATTGGTCGATCACTTCACCTGTAGTATGTGTGAGGCCTGGGTTTGATCTGGAGCACTCCACAAAAGTGGGTGTGACAGTGACACCTGTAATTCCAGCACTTGGGAGGGAGAGGCAGAAGTTTAAGGCCATCTCTGTCACAGAGTGAGTTTGAGGTTCGCCTGAGCTACATGAAACCCTGTTTTTAAAATCCTGTCAGCAGACCTGCAAGGTGGCTCAGCCAGCAAACACACTTGCTACCCTGCCGGACAACCTGAGGTCAATCCCGGAGGCCCTCATAGTGGAAGGAGAGAACCAACTCCCACACTTAGCCTGCTGTCTTCCACACATATGCTGTTTTAAACTCCTACTGACACACACATAAATGATTTTCTAAATTACAATTGAAAAAGCCCCAACCAGACAAACAAGGAAGAACTTAGATACATTAGGCTAATGTCTTAATAAATTCTCCAAGATCTATATTCTCTTACAGTACAGTCTTGCCCAAGATGTCACCCCATGCTTTCTCAGGTGGAGCAGAACGGAGCTTCTTAGATTCTCCACAATTTGGTCTTGGTTTGTGGCTCTCTACAGCTTGGTGTGGGCTTTGAGTTATTGACCCAGATTAGTTACATCTGTAGCCCTGGGACCCTGTAGGAACTGGGAATAGTTGGATCCCAGCTCTAGGAAGCCCCACCACCCCACATGTGGATTCTAGCACAGTCTGGAACACACAGGGATTCTGCAACAAAAAAAGGACAGAACTTTGAAATGGAAAATGCCTGCATGAGGAAACTTCTTCCTTTTTCATTATAGGACAGACTCTCAATTTCCTCATGGTCCAATAGGGATAATCAGAGTAGCTAATCCATAGTCCTGCTGAGAGAAATCAGTGAGATTCCAGGAGTAAAGTGCACAGAAGAAAGCCCTGTCCACCTGGGATTCTCTAAAAATCCAGGGATGGTGAGATGGCTCAATCATCAATCCTGCTGCTCTGGTTTCTATTCCCAGATCACATTTAATGGGGACAGCGAGAAATGACTTCACAGAGTTGTCCTTTGACCTCCAGACATGCACTGTGTGGCACATGCATGCCTGCACGTACACACAGACACACACACACACACACACATACACACAGAAGTTTAAGGGTTTGGACTTCATTCAACACATTTAGTAGATGTCTTCAAACATCAGCCAGGATGGATTCCACTCATTGAAAACAGATAAGTTCAGAGTAAACATTTTAGACATAACATTTTAGACATAAGACATAAACACCTTCATCTCACAGATGCAATGTCTACAACTGAGAGAGGCTTCATGACTTGTTCAAGGGCATAGAGCTGAAACACCACTATCTAAGAATCCAGTGCACGCCTCCCAGACCCCAGGTCTTCAGTCAACACACTGCTATCTGACTCATAATGGAATGATAAGATTTCTAGCTGTAGGCCTAGTGATTGCACACATGGGGACTTCATATTGTATAATGTCCGAATTAATAACATTTGAGCATCCCCATAAGTATGCTTACTCATACACACACATCCTGCTTTCTTATTGATGTCCCACTTTGTGCTGAAATAATTTAAGGTGGCCCTTGGGCATTTTATCAACAAGGCAGATGTCTGGTTGCTACCACACCCCTCTAAGGCCTGGACAGCTTAGAAGGGAGGGAAGAAAATCCTTGGAAAATGTGCATGATCTGAGAGTCCAGAAATAGACCCAGTTTTGGTGGAGCCGTGTGGAACAGTGCAATCGCATATACCTTAGGTTAAGCAGAACTACTCATAACATTAAGAACCACACAAACTGCATAGTGTTTGCCATTCTGGTCACAGAGGAAAGAGCAGGCATTTGAACATGCCTTTGCCTGGGAGAAATAAAAGGGTTAATTCTCCCCCACCGTGTGCCAAAAAATGTCTTGTTTACAGACTGGAACAAATATGGCACCTTTGTTTTAAACAGTCCATTTCCAGTTTTGGGTGGCTGTTGAGGCTCCTGAGCTACTGACAGAGGCCGGAGCAGGAAAATGGGCTGGGTTACTTAACTTTGAATGTGGACACGTGGATTGTGGGAAGGAAACTATTTAAAATGGGGCTTAGGGAAAGGGGGAAGAAATCCCCTTTCCCCAGCTGAGATTTTTCCAGGATGTCGTCATACAATCTCCAAGACTGCCATGGAACAGTAAGTAGATGGCTCTCATTGGCTGTATGCAAATGATCTGAGAGCACTAGTTTCCTGACAGAGGAAAACTTAGATCAGAGCAAGGATGCAGCCTGAGCCTGACTCTCTGCAGTTGTGAAAGAACAGAGTCATTCTTGACAGGGCAATTTCAGCCCTTGACATTCCAGGAAATAATTCCATAATGTCACTCGAGCTAGGGTTTCACCCATCCTAAGACATGGAGACACAAGTGTGGTGTTAAGATTTAAGTGTTCACCCAGACTTTAATACCAAACCCAGAGCAAAAACCATGTGAGGAGGCTGAATTTCACTGAAATGCCACTAGTAATTAAGCCCAGTAGAAGGAAAGAAAAGGCTGCTGCCAGGAAACTGCAGACATAATCTGAAACCCATTTCCTCTCCATGTTACAGACAGGGGTCCATGCCCTGTCCCAGATGTGACAC